TAGGCGGCTTCTGTTTGTTCTCTTCCATCGGACAGCCGTGGAATGTGATAAAGGCTGCAGGGTAGCCATTTGCCCGCATCGTCTGCGTAATAAATTTCAATCCAGACTCCAAACATTCGGTGATGCATATGCTACGAGCTCTTTGGAATAGGGTTTTGACGAGGCAGCGTTTATACTGGACAGGTGTGAAGCCACTAAACATGAGCCCGGTCGCCAACGTAACCCAGGTACGCATGGAACAAACACTTACCTCAATTTTGTGGAGATTATGGCTCGCTTCTCTCGAATACAAGTTATCGGTGACCCTGGAGTTATTGAATCACCCGAAGACCTCCATCACCTAACCTGCCGTAGATGCAGACTGACCATCGGTTCATGTTGTTGTGGTTGCATAAATGACCGAACATAAGTCTAACGTATTTGCCATGCTTCCGACCATGCGCTGGCATGTGAAAGGAGCCGGTGCGTTTTTGTGGGACCAAACAGCGTCCTCGGAAAGGGTTTGATGTAGGTAAAACCGCACCTCAAAAAGGCACCTGACTTTCAGAATCCGCTAACATCAAAGTTGAAGGGTTCACCAACCTCAGACATTGAGGCGCGATGGCTACGCATTTGTGGTGACATTATTCGTGGTGACACGTAATGTGTCATCGAGATGCAGGAGAAGACTGTCCCAGAAACTCCCGAAAAGCATTCCCACTGATCTGACCCATGAAACAAAAGAGCGAGTCACGAACGTATTCACGGTCGTCAACGTCAACTTTTAGGTTGGGCCAAACGCTTCGAACGGCAATTCAGTAGTTTACTACCAACAACGGGTTCCAGCTCAGGAATCAACAGTACTCGGTTGCGCGTCGATGTTTAATCATGTATAACAGCAGTACAACAGTACAAAGAGCTAAAAAATATTAAGGAGATAATCTCGAGGGAAGGTGGACCTAATGTAACACCCAAGCGCCATTGGTAAACATTCAGAGCCAACGCGCCTATGCGTTGTCAAAATGATCTTGTCACAAACAGCTGGCTATCGTGCAATGGCGACATCGGTGAGCTTCCTTGTGCTTGTCACTGTCCCGCATCATAAGCCGCAAATGCCCCGCAGATAACTCAGCATCAGACAAACTGGAAACAGATGGTCCAAAAGACAATAGCAGACATGCCACTAGTGCCGATCGCGGAATATGTACTGTAAGATCTAGAGTCAAGCCCAGGGCAAGCCACGCGGAAACCGACATGAAGGGCGAGCTGGACTAACAGCTCCCAATTTAATCGTCATTTGCCACTGCAAGTTAACTTTCCCTACACTATTCTACACGCGGCTAACAAAGCAAGGTTCTCCTAGCTAAGCAGTTGTCATGCATGCATAGTGCATGTCCAAGCCCATGCAATTTAATATTACTTATACTTTTAAGGAACTAGAAGAATTACCACCGCTTAGTACCCGCCCACGCATATCATGGTTGTGGATACACTGGCGCCATCCGACACCATAAAAACTCGCCAGACAACAGAGATCTAAGGCCTGAAGGCAGCTCAGATCACCAGATCGAAGCGCCCAAGTCACTCCTCCATTCAGTAGGACGGCTTTTAATTTGGCCTTGTGTACATGGACTTTCAGATCGAGGGAAACCGTTTTGTGACGCAACAGACGTCGCAGATCCAGAAAGGCTGCTCTAGCTTTCAATACGTGAAGTGAATTCAGTGCTTATGGGCCTATCGTTGCTGATGCACCTGTCAAGGTGGGTAAATTAATCAAATACGTCAACTTAATTGTTAGCAAGCGTAGTGGTGTCACTAAGTGATTGGTAGACGTAAAACATTATTCTGCAATTTGAAGGTACGGTGCTAATGATGGCAGTATCGCACCAGGCTCTATACAACCACGTCTCTGACGGGGTGGGGGCTTACGGTAAGCGCTCTTCACCTTTCGCCCTCATTAGCCGTCTGCGACAGGCATGCCACATGCCACCGTTTCTCAACTTCGTGATTGAGGATATCTGATTAAGCGTTCTGGAAGGTCTTCCGGGTTCTGGCGTACAGCATCTTCCAGGCAACCGCGCGACTGACTTGGACTATGCCGATGATAGTACTTCGCTTGGTGACGACCCACAGGTCATACAGGTCACTCTAAACCTCTTGGTGATTGCTGCTACAAACTATGACACGACCTCGCTCGATCGAAATGCGAGGTCCTACTCCAGGATTGACATCCACCTGCGCTAATACTGACTCCTGAAGGCGCGCAGTTCAAACAAGTGAATAGCTTCACCTACCTTGGAAGCTGCGTCTCTTCTGATGGCACTACTAGTAAAGGGATCCCTCTTTGTATTGCCGAAGCCCGATCAGCTTTCGCTGATCTGAGACATTTGTAGCGTCGTCGGGACGTTTCAATCTCAGTAAAGGGCAGGGTCTACAATGCCTGTGTTTGTGCGGTCCATTGGGAAGTGAGAGACAAAAGACATTGCCGGTTGAAGACTCTTGAGGACCTGGCGCGCAATCGTGGACAATGGAAGGGTTGTAGTTGTCCATGCATAGATTCAGCTGATCAATGCCGTAATCACAAAACTGACAAAATAGATAAAACAGCGTTTGGGAAAACAAAAAAGTCATTTTGCTTATTTCCCATTTTGTGATTTGTGTACGTATTATACATGTTCATTCCATGGTTTCTCGATGGCCCGATGTCTACTGTATAGACAGTTGCGAATACATGTAAATGTTTATAAAGCGCCAATGACAGCCAGTTTTCGTTTAGCTGTGCTTCTCTGTATGTTGCAGATAAGGCGGACACTTTGAAAGTGAGTGACTTCCGAGGAAAATAGTGTCAAAGTTTGGCGAAATAGTCGTGGCCGTGCGCAAGCCTAGATGAAACCAGGGCACTCAATTCTGTACGAGGGAACGAATATGGTTCGCAGCCAAGTCGTTGTCTGAAAAGAGTGATGGCGACGCAGCGAGAAACTGCTAACAGTCCATAGGAAGAGATGCTTTCATAGCGGTGGAGACTGTCCAAGTATTTTTGTTCGTCGCAATCAGCCGACACTTCAGATATGTCGACCAGCTATCCGGAAAAGCACCAGACGGCCGTTTCGCCCTATTGGGGCTCATCAGTGGTGCGCATCCTTCGGTCCTCTGCGGAGGATCGAACCCATGTCCAAGTCCCTGTTCCTAATCTGGAGTACCGATGGACTGAGTTTGTCTGATTTTAAAGCTACTATATAATAGGGTTAGACTATCTCTCAAAATGCCAGAAAACACCAAACGGTACAGCTGTTTCAGGTATGGTCTAGTGGCCGAATTGATCGGGGCTAACTTCAAAGTGAACCGTGGTCCAGATTGAGGCCATATATCACAGTGCATGCAATAACGGGAATAACGGTTGCTCTAGTTGGCAGCTGAAACGTTGATTTGATAACCGAGTCGAGAAATTTGGTAGCAGGCGTTTATCCATCAATCAAGGTTGCATGGTCAGTGCGTAGTAGCAAAGACCTTGTTAGTAGTAACTAAGCTCTGGGCCACTACCCACTGCAACCATTTGCTCTATTCAGGGGGCAAATTGCGCGTCCAAAAATATGTGCTTCAAACGAATCCACGCAATACGGCAGAATTCAGTAGGGGAATTAGCTAAGCGAACAGTTTCGTTTTCGGTGGTTCACGTCAAGCTTTTACGCCACAACGGATAAATCGGAATGAAACTAACACCTGATGTTGGCAAGGGATGAAATAACGAAGCGAAACGCAGAATCAATATGGTCACGTGACGGTGGGAGATGGCAGTCATAGATCTTAGACGACACTGCTACGTATACGGTGGGTTGGACAAACTTTTGCACCCATAAGTTTTTGGAGCAGAAGAACGATAGGCTCTGCTGCCGCTAATATGCGTATGACATTCGTATATCGAGTGGTGAGCTGAAAGGCCCCTTTGTGCGTTGATTTGATGATTCGAGCCGACTAAGTGCGGTAGTATGGCGCTCATCACTAACTTCGCACACAAGTATAGAGCCACGCTAGGCAATGTTTCCCGGTCTCTTCCGGACAGTCGCATGATTGTCTTACCAATATAACTTACGCAACATGAACAAGCGAGATTGTACACAACGAAAGAAAATGTTAAACATGGTTTTCTATCCTTGACTTGCTGCCTCGCGATTGATGTTCAGGTGAAGCTAACACGGAGATCCGAAGCACCAAATGTGCTCGTGGTGGCACTGCAGAGAACCTTCGGATGATTCGTTCCGCTACTGCGTCAAGCATGAAAAGTAACGATGGGTAGATTAACCGTTAATCTGCTGCTTAACGTTTTGTGCTCGTGGCTCCGTATACCTCCAGAAGAATTTGTCCGGGTAACCATTTCGTTAGGATCCGCTTCCATTGGAACTTGGCTCGCCCGAAAGTGTGTCCTCCGTGCATATCCTCCTCGCTCTTTCTGTTGGACAACAGATGAAGTTTCGTTTCCAACTCATTAGAACGAAGCTGACGCAGCGGGTATACCGATCGCTCCAGATTGATCTAATGTGCAATCCACACTGACCAGTTCAAGGTTGGGAAAATCCAGGAATGTCACGGATTGATCTCTTTCCAGTTCGATGGTGAACGCTGTGTTGTTGTTCACATAGTCAAATTGGGCCAGCAGACCTCCCTTAATCATTCGGCTGTCCACAACATAAAACATGTCATCCACTTATCGGCCGTAGTGCGCTAAATTATTAATAGATTTACAAAACTAGTTGTTCCCCAATCTGATGGTGAAGTCGTATTTTAGCAATTGCCCCCTTGGTGAGTAGATAGCTACCTCGTCTATCTGTCGGTACAGACAAGCCAAATTACAGACAAGTCCCATTGTGACACGCATAATTCATGGACTGCATAATTCAGAGGTAATCCAGCTGATCAAAGAGGTTAAACAGTGCAATCCGTCTAAGGTGATCCATGCGATAATCTCGCAATTAGGACAATGATAGTGCCGTAAAAATGTGTTACTAGAACAGCTGAGAACTTACCCCTATGCAGACCGATGTCGAAGACGGAAAAGTTAAGCATGCAGCGCTGCTTTTCGTGCGCTCTGCCTGGTTTAATGGCCTAATCCTGCAGACCACCGTAATGGCCTCCTTCATAACCTTTGTGCGAAGAGCAACGGTGGCCATTGGGAGAGGACTGTGATGAAGCGACAGATATGCCACCGCGGTGGAAAGTTTGAAATGAAACTGATCGATTCCAGCTAGCGGACAGTATGGCAAAACAGGAAAGCTGTCGAGCTCAGCGAACACCTCGACCAGCAACTGAATGCCTGGTCACCAATGTATGAAGGTCCGGAAATCGTTAGTCTTAATGCGCTTTCTTAACCTTTTAATAATTGCGCTATACATGCCCCAAGGCGCCTGGAAAAGAACGCAGCGTGATTAACGCTGCAGTACACAACAGCTCTACGGGAAACATCACCGAAAACAGAGAGCAGAAAAGGGTTGCAATATATCGACACTTCGATTATTCTCATTAGTTACAAGCGCGGTTAATCAGTTCGCCCACAGTAGCAGTGAGATTTACATAGGCAGTACTGACCGTCGGTTGGCTCAGAACTTGGATGAACGTTGGCCAAAGTGGGTGGGACAGGCAATGGCGTAACAAAAACGGAGAGGACCCTCGGGTGAACGGAATCCAGCCATCAGTCTTCATCAAGCCCCTCATGACTGCTCAGTATAAGTTGAACCCGAAATCAGAGTTAAAAGTGCTATTACGCAACAGAAAGCCGAGAATGTTGGTACTCAGTGAGACAATATACCGTGATTCACAACCCGTTACAAGTGAGTGCATGACCGGAAGGAGAACAATAAAATAAACGTTTAATATAAATAGGAAAAACGGAGAATCGAGTCATAGGTGACTCACCGAGTTATTCACATACATACATCTTGGGCTCCATACCTCTGTTAAACAGACTGATTTGTTTGTGTGATGCCGAAAATTATACTCTTTCATAACCGATATATTTTCGCCGCATATGGCACAACTGCATTTCAAGTCGTTTGTCTCTACGAAGAAGTACTTCACTCCCCATTCGTCGTTGAAAACGAGACATTCTGTGTCCACTTTCCTCCTTTTAGTGGCCATATAAGCGGTGCAGTTCACGTGAGCTGAAAATGTAAGAGACAGAATTGGAAACGTAATTAGCATCCTACTAGAACACTTGCAAAGCAGATAACTAGCGTCTGGTATTGAAGTTACGGCTCACCAAACATGTATGTGAAGCTTATAACGTTTATAGCACACAATGCATATATCACACAAGGGCCGTTGCAAAATATATGAATACGGCCGGCTGAAATGAGTAGGTTGCGTCATCGTCTTTCAACTGCGGTTCCGAGAGTGCTAGCCAGGCGTTCCGCAGTGACACCGAAATCGCCCAACGACAACTTCTCCGCCCATCTGATCTATCAAGGACACTTAGCACACTTCGCTGTCTGGACACCAAACAGATTTCTGACCTGCGTTGAAGTGCCTGTAGCATTCCATTGTCTTTAGGAAGTTCCACTTCTCGTGGACGTCATGCGCTCGAAAATTATCATGAGGACATGACATGCTCACCTTCAATAGAGGCTTTCGTGCGGGTTACTAAGCCACAATGTGGCTTGCCTATGTCACATGGATCAAGTTCATGCACAGCCGCACGAACGCCACGGTGCATGCGCGTGGAAGATACGAGCGCGTGGGTCACATGTGCAGTAACCTGCAAGCAGGTGAATGGGGTCAAACGGGTATTCAGGGTTAGAGTAGGTAACACGCAATCGAGCTTACTGTGTGAAATGCGGCATTGTGGTGTAAGTGGTCCGGTTCAATTGGCTACACGCAGAGTATCGCTCAAACGGTCGAAGCTGATAGGCGATATGAAGGGGCCAAACAGTTGTGATGCCGCAGTGATGGACGTGTTCAAACAGAATGGGGACATGAAATGGCTTGATCGAAAGTGCATTAGGGCGAAGGCCGTAAACACAGGGCTAGGATAGGCATGTGAATTAGGTGGGTGTTCAAAATCGAGTGTCGTTCGCGGGCCGGAGGAAATGAGGTCGCAGGCCGTAGGGTGGTGACCTCTGACTTAAATTATGTAGCTCGGATACATGGACAAGGATCGATTTTACGTCTATTTGTTTACGGAAATCATCCGGATTCTTTTGGCGTTTCTGACGTTCACTCCAAGGAACATAAGAAAAAATACGAGCAGTGCGTGGGGTAGTAGGAGATGAGTGGCTGACAAGTGAACTGCCGCTGCATCATCCCCTGACTGAAGCGTTACTTAGAGTAACTGCGGTCCACCATTGTGTACTAAGTTCAGATGACGGATGAGGCCCATCATACTGGCCGGTTTAGCTAGGACCGCTATTAGTTGACAGAGTCCCACTGTATTTGGTCGTCGAGCAGCTTGTCTTTGACGGAGTTCGCCCCGGATTCTGGTACATTGGAGCATAGAACGAAAAATGAGTTACGAAGTTGTCTATTGTCCTGTGCGTCACACGCCGCGTGGTCGTGCTGAATCGAGGATCCTCTGTTTTTGGATCTACCTCTCGCAATTCTCGGGGCAACCTAATGTGCTTACACTTGTCCAATCCGAGTTTCCAGTGGACCTACCGCTGCAGGATTGTCTAGCACACACCATCATTACATCCGTCATTGCAAGTTCAACGGGATTTCCACAACAATCCAGTCGCACATCAACCATTATTTTCGAGTGCATACCATCGTTCGAGTGTTCTTAGTGCTAATCAGCGATTTCTTTACCACAAGAATCGGACACTCCGTTTGATAGCTGCAACACATTTACCAGTCATTATCCTAACAGTCGTCAAACTAGAATGAATGCTACCACGCACATCAAAACTGTCCACCAGGTCTACGTCCGACTTGCTGGATCTCTATAGCCTGCGACATCCAACACCAGAAAGTTCGCGCACCGAACTCAGCCGGCTTTGTTTGCACCTGTGGCCGCACTCGTAGAATAGGGTCAACCGACATCGTGTGCCTATGACAACACGTTCGGCGCTCGCAAGCTGCGCAGGTTTCGGTAATGCCTCGCAACACGGCAACAAGGAAAGCCATGTGTACAAGGTCCACACTGCCACAGACAAAAGTTTTTGTAATTCGAAATCGTCCTCTAAGATTATACGAATTGGAGTAAAATGTGGTAAGTGCAGTAAGAACTATCGGCCCAGGTGTGTAAACTTAAAAGTGTGGCGATAGGGAAAGAACTACAGTGCACACCAGACTCCATTTGGTTCTGTGCAGTGTATGATTGACCCACTCTTAAGGTGCATGGCCGTGCTGGCTCAGAAATGTGACAAATTGTCAGCTGTTGTGTAGCGTGCGACGGCTGGTCAAGCGATCAAATCGGAACTAACTACATCGGAACTCCATTCCCGTTACCAAACTATATGCTCAAATGTGGAACAGAATATTTAAAACCAGTGTACAGTTAACAATGTAGAGCCAGCAACCCCAACCACGAGGACTAGCAGCCAGGGTCTGTCAACCCGGCAACCCCAATTTTGCAGAGAGTGGTTTCTCCCGGGGATGTGTCTGTCTCACATGACACTATTGCATTCGGGTTTACCTAACACTGCCGAAAGTCTGACAACTTACGCATCCATGGTCGCTGGATGCAAACCCAGGGCAAGGTTAGCGGGTATATCTGTAAGTATTCCAAGGAGTGTTAGAAGTGACACGAATACCCATGCGCCTCCGAGCAGACCGCCAACCACGCCATCCGTAAAAGGAGGTACTAGCTCATCCAAAATTACGAACTCTAAGAAGACACAGAACTGCATAAAGAAAATATGTTTCAACGTGCCAGAGTTAAAGGTAAACTCTACTATAGACAAACTACTGGACGAGCTGAAACAATGGGAAACCATACGTCAAACTATGGTACTACAAGCCAAACAGGCTAGCATGTGTCGTATCGTCTGCCACCCAAATTCAGTTCACTATGGCGAGCCAAGGCTACTTTGGGTGACATTTCAGTCGATGGACAAAGCGGAGACCGCCCACTTGTCAGCTCACCGTCTTCGTAATTCGTCATGCGGCTGGCTAGCCGAACAACCTCCTCGTAGTGCCAGCTGGGTGGTTCGGGTTTAACCTGTTCCAGCAAATAGTTCGGCGGCAGTGTTCCAGGGCGTGGGGGATTTTCGCCTGGCAAGCGTTCTCCCTATAAAAAGCCACAAGTGTCTGCTTAACAATACTGTGATGTAGCGGTCGTTATTCGCCATAACATAAAGTCACTGCTTCGTGGATAGACGGACAATCCTTTCCAACCCACGGACGTAAGATTTCTACTCGCACATTGCCGAAGATATCAAACAATGAAGAACGGAGCAGCACAATAACAAGCACGAACTACACAGTTACACACACAATTACATGCGAATATACCCCCTTACAAAAACATACACTGTTATGGCAAACACATTGAATTTTGCCCATATTGGCTGATGTTTTGTTACATTAATATGATCATGCCTGTAAAAGCGTGCCTCGCGATGTCGAGAATAAAAATTTTATTTATTTATATTTCCTGACATCTCTTGGAGTGAGCGTCAGCAAAGGAAGCAAAACCCAGGAGAATACCGCAAGCAAACCGACGAAAGATTGATATTTGTCCATGGTGTCCCCGAAATCCAGTCATCCGACGAGTCGCTGGCCCAAGCACATGAATTGGAAGAGTGGCAATACATCGGCGAAGCCCTCTGTCTCTATGACGTGATTGCCAAATCAACGTCATGGTTGCCCATATCACCCAAGTATAAAGGAAGTGGCCCAAAAGCGTAGAAAGTCATGCTCTACTCCAAACAATAGTTAAAAGATGGGTGGGAAGTTGGCAAGAGTTGCGCACCAAGATGTCATCAGAGATACTTCTGAAGGCACTATAAGCCAGGCCAATATTAAGTGGGGTAACACGAAACCAGTGAGAAGTTGTGGCGATCCCCGCTGTCTGCATTTCTGAACAGGAACAGGGTGAAACACCCCAGCCGTCCGAAGAGGAAGTAACGGACAATCCGTTGCAACTCGCTTCTAAAGCACCATGTAGTGACTGCTCTATGCAATAGACCGTAACCGCTCTGGGGTGTTGGCAAGAAATATATCCAAAAAACGGTTTTCA